GTAAGAAACTGAAACCCAAATTATCATTCTAAAGGAGTTCACAAACAGTGATGGGATACAGCTGTTGTAGCGTGCATCTTCATACCATGCAGACCCACCTGACTTCATCACCCTGAGTATCTCCAGGCTGCCCTCTCTCAGATCTGGCCAGAAATAGTAACAGTTGCAGTGGTAAACATTTTCAACACTGTTATCTGGGATGGGCATCACTGCCATGATGCCGTGATGGAGGGTCACCTTGCCGCATGCAATGAGCTCCTTCACCCTCTTGGTGGCAAGTTGGTGCATGTAATCTGAGTAGTCGACACCAATCAGCTTCCCCTTGGGCCCAGAGAGGAGAGGGGCTGCAGCCACGAGCCCCAGGCCCGGCCCATGGCCCAGCTCCAGGACTGTGTCGTCAGGACGGATCCCACAGAGGTTTACTGCGTTTTCCTCCAACATGCGATTGTGCCATACCAGGAACTGTTTTACTATCCAGCCAGCCAGAGACCGAGTGGGTCGACCCAGCTGTTTACCGACTTTGCACAATAGCATGGCTAGGAAACAACAACAACAACAAACATAAGTTCTGCTATATTTGCCATCTGAAATTTGAATACAGGTACTTTGGAATATATCTTTTTTTTATATATCATGGTCTCCATTTTAAGACATGCACATGTTATAAAGGTGAGTGTTACACTTTGGTGTCAGGAACAACCATTTATCCAGCACTCCGGAAGCATTTCCCAGGTAAAGGGACTTGATCTAGGGCCCAAAGATGTGATGTGTGGCTGTATTTTTGTTAATTTATAAATGTTGTAACTTTATAATGTTTGCCGTGGAATGGGCGTGCACCTTGTAGTGTAGCTATTTAGCACTGATATACCATTTGTATTACAAATGCAAGTATAATTTGATACGTGGAGGGGCCACGAACAGTTAATTTTTTTAAATCGTGTGCCCAATTGAACTTTATTTGTCCCTCTGAGATGTTGCTAGACTTCCGAGACTCACGCAAGTTGTGTCAGATGAAAAAGACAAATTACAATGTGAGCGCTTTGTTATCCATTTTTTCCATTTTTAATCTGAGCACAAAACGGATAAGGACTCGAGAAACTAGCCGTTATTCGTTTTCTCATTTTGGTTTCTCAACCAGAAAGAGAACGGATTATGGATCGTTTTTCCATACCCAATACGAAACACTGTCAGGGAGCAAATGCCGAGTTTTAAACAAGCACAAATATTTCAGCCCAAGTTTTTTAAAATAAGAAAGCACTTAAACCCATTACATTTAACCAACATGTTTAAAGAAGAAGATTTTTTTTAGCGATATTTACCAGTGTTATGCTGAAGAAAACATTTAACCAGCAACCATTTAGCCCCGTAGTTCAGCCGTGTGCGACCTCTCCGTTCAAAGGTTGCGCGCCAAATGAACGACCGTGGGGGGCGCTCTCACGCAGACACACATTTCAAAATTGCGGCAACAAACGGAGCGCCCTGTTATTTCAAACAAACCATACCGTTTAAGTAATTAAGCACTTTTCTACCAATGTGAATAATAAAGTAAAGCGCCCTAAGCATTTCGACAACAAAAATCCCAGGGTTGACGATAATTGAATTTGGACTGGAATAGGATTCGTGCGGTTGGTCTGTCGCTCCAAAAAAGGTTTCAAATCACGACATAAACCCATGAGGATCTCTTTCGGGAGGCAGTATCTGCTCAGAAGCCACCCCGAACTCTCACCAAGCAGATCAGAGCGCTCTCGGAAGACGCGTTCCCTCAGGAGAGCACGGTTTGCCAAATCTTCTAATAAAGCCAGATCAGCCACGCTACATTTTCAAATACCCGTCACAGGTCTCTTTTATAGGTTCTAACACCAATTAGGTGACAAAGTTGTTTCTCAACAAACATAATTACTGATTGAGTATATATCATTTTGAAATGAAGAACACACGTGGTTAACAGACTTTCAATATTGCAGTTCCCCTGTTCTGCCACTAGATTCT